CTATTAAAAAAGCAAGTGCTTGTTGGACTGCCCAGTTGGGAAGAATTCAGAAGACGGGTAGTTTGGAGAAAGGGTACATCTTTGGATGATTTCTTGCGAGGGATTGTAGAGAACGAATTAGCTGCTGATTTGGCCTAATACCATCAGCTTGACCATAAGCTTTTCAAGCCTGGAATATCTTTCCAGTGATCTGTGCTTTCGAAATTTTATAGGATATATTTGTTGGAAAAAAAGCGACATCACCCATAACGGCCCAATCGGCTTTAACACTTTCGTTTTTTCAAAGTTCCTGTGAACATGCAGTTTTTCACAGAATGTTTGCTTGCTAAATGATGCTTAGACTAAATTCGTTCATTCCTTGTTCTTTCAGCTATCAGAATCGTCATTGCCAAGTCCAGCGGCACAGTACTTGGACGAGTCACATGGTTTTGTTTGGCAGATGTAGTAATGATCGTTGTAGCAGTCATCGGAATACCATGCAGATCTGAAAAGGTAAGTGGTTAAGTACTTTAAATATCCTCACCCTCTAAACGATGTATATGACTGTAAAAGGAAGGAGAGTTCATATACAGCTGCCGATCGTGGTAAGTCTATTTGAGATTTAGTAGTTTCTTCGGTTCGGTTTATTGCCACAGTTTCCAACCGCAATAGCCTACTAATCGCTATGAGCGCTCGTACTCTTGTGCTCACAATAACGGTTCCCACATAAGGTTTGTTAAGTCTATACATATTGACCTTGAACTACAAAGGCGGTTGTTCAAGAGCACTTCGTAGTGGTTGTGCAGCTACAAACCTATATTAAAAACATGCACAACGCATATCTTTGAATACCTTTTCACTCTGCGAATCTTTTTGTATCTTTGTAAGCTTCTTGCAACTTTACTTCATTAAAAGCTGTACTCTTACTTCAAAAGCTCTATTCTTGTGTGTCATTTACGAACGTTGTGCTTTTAAAATTACTAGCGATCGCAATGTGAAGTGTAAGACTTTGTTCAATACTTCAGGTTCAAATAATTTGTGGAGAGTCCAACAATTTTGGAAAGAACTCACTTGGAATCTGAGTACTGCTGCATGTAGACACATTCACCTTTGTTGGTATTTGGATGGCCCTTCGCCCATTTTGTAAATCTGCCGATCTTGAAAGATTCAGATACAGCAGCTATGTAGTTAATCACAAGCGTCCTAGCAGGACACAAATGCAACCGATGTTCTGGCCTCTCACTGCTTCGAAAGAGTAAGAATTCTACGAAGGAACTCACTGAGCTACCATCCTGCCATAACCATTGGTTGCCTTTGAACTTCAATCCTAACCAGATCTTTGTCTTTGGCGGAACCACTGCAATGATCAGGTTTCTCTCTTTTTGACATTTTAATTACCTTGGTACTATCTAGTGATCGTGCAGGGAAATTTGCGGTCCATGATATCTCCTTGGCGGTTTGAGCACGAAATGCACCTTTGATTGTCTTGAATGCGCGCTATAGCACAATTGACTATTCAGTTCCCTCAATCATTCATGGAGGCTGTTAATGTGCACGACATTTTGTTAAAGGGAATCTCACTGCAAGCCTTTGGTTTGATGTTTATTGACTTAAAATTTTAGAGATTATGTGTCCTAGTGCTTCCCGTTTTTAAGCAGCTTCAAGTGCGAGATTGTTTAAGCTGTTTTAAATGTTCCTCCTCGTGTACGTAGGGAGCGCCCGATTTCACCAAGATACTCAGCACCGAATTCTTTGCATCGATTTGAGTAGATAATCTCTATTTCCACGCAGTCCCTTCTCCGATCATTGGGGAATTATTGAAGCACCTTCTTGAGGGGATGTAACTGAAGGGCTCTAAAAAAGAAACCGAAGGGAATTTGAAAATGATGAATAGCTCACAGTTCATCAGAAACGCGTCCTTTTTGGAATCCTCATCGACAGCAAGCACACCGTCATTCTTTCGGTAACACGTCCGATTGGCCAGCATCTGTAAACTTCATGGCTTACTCTTCTGCCAACTCATACTCTGTCATAGCCAGAATGGGAGAATATCCAGATTACTACGAAAAATAGATCAAGTGAGGTTCATCTATTGTAGAGTGGTCGAAAAATAGATCAAGTGAGGTTCATCTATTGTAGAGTGGTTTCTTACTCTTCGGGGGTGAGAGATGCTTTGGTACAATAATGCTCGCTGGGCATGGTCCTAGAGAAGAGCGACTCCCTCCCTACCTGTTGTTGCCGATTGTGCACCAGGTTCTGATTTAAAAGAGCTCATTTTCATTACACATCATCTGATCATAAGGTTCGGCTTGCTCCGTCCTCGTACAGGGCATCTTGATTTGTAAACAGACTTCTATTACTCGTGACTCCTTTTTAACGTTTTTGGCAGCATCCCACACTAGTGTAATCGACTTCGCCCAAACCTTTCTATGGGAACTTTTTGTCGATAAATTTGTCGATCTACCTCACAAGAATGCTTCCAGAAGGTTTAAAGGCACAGTTCACGATAATTTCGCGGTAGCTACATAGTTCTAGACGAATATCGGCTGTGGTAGTCCAGAGTAGTGTAAGAAAAATGAGGAAAACCCGAGAATCGGTGTGTTCAAAGAAATGTATGGCACAAAAAGTAGTAAAATTAAAGTAGTGAAATTAGGGGTCGGACGAACGACGAGACAAAAGCCTCTACAACGTCGTGAGGGCTCGTACCCTTCGAGGTGTAGGTCAGCTAAACCGATTTGAGACTCTTATTACGCTCGGTCCACGCCGTTTTTCAACCCGACAGCTTGTTGGTCGCAGGTTCATCTTGAGGTGTAATCTCAGAAAACATTTTGCCGTAAACCATGCCTCTCAGTTTGCTTTCTTTTGCTGTCATGCAACAGAAAGAGTTGAGACTCCGTGAAAAGAACCTACAAACCAGCGGTAGATGTCGCGAGTTTATACCTTTCTTGTTAACGTCGCGGTTTTTCTTGGCGGTCTGACCGAGGTTCATCTTTTTGAATATATATAGAGGAGTTACTTTCTCCATCTAACTCGCCCTAAACTATGATCCGACAGCAATAGACTGTCTTGTCAATTTTTTAGCCACCAATAAATCATCAAATTCTTATACTTCCATTAAAATAATGCGGAAAACGTTTTGGTGAATATGCTACATNTTTTGAAAAGTCTGAACTTTGTTTATTGGAATGTTTAACGCAAAGTATGGTAGATTAGTTTGATGAGCGCTCACTCCTCAATTCCTTTGATGTAGCGAGCATATCCTCTTCTGTGTGAAGTAGTGTATTCTCGACGAAGGCTCTTCAAAAAAAAAATCAAATAATTTCGAACGAGTCTGGTGTCGATCAGGTGACCCTACTAATCTACTCCATTTTGAGCTTGTGCCCCAATATACACCTATGTTCTGTTCCTTATAGTAGTCAAAATGGACAACAGTAGTGTCTTGTGTAACTTGGATAGAAGATCAGCTTTAGCCAAAGAGCGATATGACACGTTTAGCATAGCTGTCGAAGGAAATGCTTTTCCGCTACCACCTTCACGCCTATTTGTGTTTGCGAGTAGTGTCCAGGGGTTCGCTCTGTCCTACCGTCAAATGATGGCCCTTGTTTTTAGACACTTTGGAAATACGTACCTGAATTGAAGGAATCATTAGCGGATAGTAGCATCCACCTTGTGGTGCGTTCCACTGGTCGTTGTTGTACGGTACCCATTTCTTTTTACAAAAGCAATTCGCTGAAAGTTTCAGTTAATAAAAGAAATCATCGGTCTTGGTAAGTGTGTTTCCAGGTAGTGCAAGCAAAAAGTTGAAAATATCACGANGTCTTGATGTACCCTACAAACCATTTCCACATTACTCCGTGGTATTGCACGTTGGAATTCGAACTGGAACGTTGATCTCGACATCTTTTTCGTCTAACTCAAAGTAACAGTACTCGACAATTTTGTGTTATTTAGTTCAATCTGTGTCACTTATCGTCCCGCTGATCATTGATTTTCTCGATCGGCGCCAGTAACGTCTCCAGTCGTCCCTGCCGCAAGCCAGTGGATCGTTCTGGCTCGAACCTAGGCATAGCATTCCTTCCGTTCAATAGAAAGTCCGACTATTATGCTGGCGTTCGTTTGAAGTCGTAAGGGACCCAGTCAGTAATTACCCCTGCCCATCTGATCTTTGACTTCATGGTGTAAGCAACGGCATCATTGATCTTCGTTCGTTGGCGCAGCTCAGAACTTCGGATTCCCTTGTGCACTTGTGTGGACAGAGAGATTCAGAGCATTATCCTTTACACAGCGCATTCAATGACGCTGACTGCGTGTTCATGCTGCTTTCGTTGAGCCCGATCTTCGAGGCGTATGCAGGGTCCGAAGAAAGGGCCGTATGTAGTATCGAAAAGGTGAGCGCGAAGCCTTACGTTCTTTGCCGCCTACATCACTCCCTCGATGTTCTTGAATGCTTCTCACGTCGCACATTTCCTTCTGCACAGCTCCGGAGCTTGGTGGTTCATCAGGTCGACTTCACGACCTTTAATGCTTGATATTTAGGTATGCGAATATCGTCTCTGTCAAGTTCGGTCTCAAACTGATCTGATTTAGGTGTAGGTAATGTCGTTCATTTCCATTCAGGATTAGACCTTCTCAAAGCAAATCTTGTTAAGGCTTGCAGGTATTATTCATGTTGGACTGAACAAGAACAATAATTGAATAGGTTATTCAATTATGGGTGCAGTTGTCCACACCATATTTTGAACTGGTGCCTATGTATGTACTCAATGGGCAGTCAAGGCTGCATTGAATATGTAAGAGTACCCCCTGACTGAGTGACCGAGTCTCACCTTCACAAAGAAGTTGACGTAAATCTTGAGCGTACAATTGTTTGCCTTTCTCGTAGTTGACCAGATTGTAATTTTTTGACGCCAGGTTTTTGAGCATTGGCACCGACTTTCCATCCTCTTGTACATACTCTATAAAAACTTTTCATTTCCGGCTGCCAATTATTTCTGTGCAGGGAGCTAAAGATCCATTTCGAAGCTGGAAAACAAGGGGTTGAAGACTGTTCTTGTTGAAATGACTTTAATCGCCTTTCTCTGACCTCTGTGGGTTTTGTTTGCCCCAGTATCACGGCGAGAGGGATAGGGTATATCATCCAAAGCTACCCCAAGTGCCTATGGGTCAGTTTAGCGGCGGTCGACCAAACGACCGGTTGTTCATAGAGGTGGGTTAAACATGTTTAGGGTTATCATGCCCGTTTGGAGACATTTAGTCTAGGGAACCGGTTTTCTGAAGTTTATTTGTTGAATGAAGGATGGATTATGATAATACACAGGTTTCCAGGCTCTGAGGAAGGCGATTACGCCGAAACGTAAGTTGATAAGAACTTATTTAACATCTTGGCAACAGGTTTTAAAAAGTCTTATAACATTAATGTTCTTGTTGCTTACCGATTGTGATTATGATTCCGCCTTCGTCTCGGAAATGGCCAGCGATTTTCGTTGGATCGTTGTATATATCTTCCCTTAACACATTTCCATTCAAATGTACCTCTTTAACTGTACCTATCCTTGTCCACAGTTTAGGACAATTTTTCGGCAAGGAAAATCATTCAAAATATTGAGTGATTCTGAAAAGTAGCTGTGTCTGTGTCACGAAATTCGTATTGCCCGGAAAACGACTTGGAAACACTAGGTCAAGTCTTCGAAGGATCACTTCTGGGCGAGGCGCGAGAAAATTGGCAGGGCCTGGTCAAAAATTTTTTTGATTCAGTTCCAACGCAGGTCAATTCGGCGCTGCCAACTCCGGCGTCGGACGGCATGGCGTCCGGTGAGAGGCGAAGTAATCCGTGGTTGCGCAGGACGACTTTGATTTCGGACCATGACAGCACTCCCTCCACACGACACGGAGACTGCTTCCTACTTTATACCTGCAAGGCGATAACAGTCTCTTCCAATGCCGTTCTCCATGAGCTCCTCAACGCGGCCAGTCACATTAAATATCATGTGATTGCGCTGCAAGAAACCAAGAGCCGGAGGAACGACGTACGACGAATGAACGATGGAACCCTCATCATTCATCCTACGCCTACGACTTACGCGCCTAGAGACCATCTCTGTCGTCAACGCTACTCTCCGCACTCTACAGCTGACGAAGTAGAGCTCGATGCGTTTTACGACCACCTTAATGAAATCATTCGCAACGAAAAGTCCTTCTACAAATTCCTTGTTAGAGATTTCAACGCTAGGCTTGGCGAAGCGCAAGAGGAGGAGTTCAGGAATGGAAAGTTTGAAATTGGGGGCAGGAACGAGAGCGGTAATCGTCTAGCTGGACTCCTATCCGCGGCTCGACTCTTACATGGGATTTCTTCAAGGCACATAGCCGCTGGACAATAGAGTCTCCAAACGGTACAATTCATGCTGAACTGGACCACATATTAACAAAGAGAAAGTGGTGCTTACTGGATGTTGGTGTGGTACCATCTTTCTGCAGTGGTTCTGATTATCGACTCCTTCGCTCTAAGATCAGATTCAGTCGTAAGCTGGAAAAGATCTCACAACATCGCGCAAAGAGCTCGAAGCATGTTGTGTAAGAAGGAGATGTTCCAAATGACGTCTTGTCCCGATATGACAGGCAGGTCTTGGATGACCCGACGGAAGACTACGACGCGCTGGTTCGGGGTCTCCTCACTTGTGCTGAATAGGCCAAACTTCCTCGAGTGAATAACTCCGCCCGCATTTCAGATGCGGTGAACCATCTCCTCAGGACAAGAAGAAACTTGAGGCTTGACTAGAGCGCTACGCACTTTGAAAGCTAATATCGAATATCAGCTGCAGACTGGCAGTGCAGCGAGATCTTCAGCTATACAGGGAGAAGAGACTGCTGGAGGCAGCCTTGAAGAACTAGTCTGAGAAAATGCCATCGAGATCTCCAGGACCACAGTATTTCACTTTCGTGTTTGAAGGTGGACGGATCAATTACAACATTTGAAATAGAGGAAGTTACACGGAGTTACACGGATACTAACCAGAACCGGTCCACGACATAAGTGCGAAAACCAAAAATCCCCACTGGCAGAACAGCACCTCGGATCCTTCCTTCGGAGGTGAGAGTTGCGATTGCGAGCATGAAATGCGGCACAACTCCAAGATCTCAGCCCACCCATTCCGTGTAGGTGATCATGAATTCCATGTGCTTCTGGCAACGTACAGTAGCGCTCAAAAGTATCTGGTCAATGCTTTTCCGGTCGTAACTTTTTCACAGTGGAGCAAATCGCGCGAAATTTTGATATGTTCAACTAAAGCATATTTCACACCATCCGACACTATTTGACTGCAAAGTAGCGGTATCCTTGTAACTAAGAGCAAAATTTATTGGGGTGACAAAAAGCAGAGTTATGGCGTCTGCAGTTATTCGCACCTTATGTGCGTATTTCACCTCTACAGTGTTCCACGT